ATGGTGTAGAAATATTTTGCAGCCAGTATATTTTGTTCTCTCAGAGTATATAGTAAAATTGATCAGACTTGTTTATTAAATGATTAATCATTTAATGTTTCTCTTGTGGCTGTGCGCCTACAGTCAGCTGCGAAAAGATAATGCATACAGACGTATACAAATAACGGAAACTTTAGAAAGCGAAAATAAAACCAGAATCCTGGAGATTTAAGGAGATTCAGAAACTACGATATGATGCATTTTGATGCAAAAGGCGCATCTTTGTGGGTCTGCAGAGCATGTGAGATTGTGTGAGTGTTGACAGTTGTTGCACAGAGAACCAGCAGTAGGAAACATGCAGAGCAAGAGACGATTTTCCACTGGTTAATCGATCGCGAATGTTTGGCTTTCTTGGGGCGGATACAAAAAGTATAAAAAGATGAAAATAATAGTATTCTAGCATCTCCACTAAATATACTTGGATGGCAGTTAATATACCTGAGCAGCCCACCCAAATAAATTCTACAGTATGTAAGGAAAACAATGTATTGTCTGTTTATTTGTTCGTATAAAGTACATCTTCTGCATGATCTCATTCTACATCCCTAATCCTGGGTAATACCTAAACCCAACTACTTCCTTAATTACTATTCATAAGGAGCAAATTAGAAGTTTATTGAGCTAATAGTCACAGCTAATGGTTTGCTAATGGTAAGAATTGTATATTAAAATAAAGAGTTGCCAACCTTTTCAATGCTTTCCACTATTGGTTCACATTTATGAGAAATGTTTCTCTGGGTGTGTTTACACTTTGTTATGCTGTTAGTTTGGTTGCTTGAGATCATTGTACTCCAAAACAAAAATAAAAGTGATACATATTGTTTGCATTGCTTTACCATTTATAATTTAATATTTAGGATCAAACCATGAGATGTGAGGGAAAAAAGGCTTTTATAAAGGATATTTTGTCGTTATTATCGAACATACATAATATGTTTGTGTTGGGCTAAAAATGCTCATTGTATGTGAACCAATAAAGGTATTTTTAATGGTTAACTCATGAAGAGCTTATATAATTTGTGTAATGATCCAAAACAGCATCAGAAGTTCTTTTGTCACACACTGTAAAAAATATCTGTTATTTTACGTTTTTTCCCAGCAAAATTTGATGTTTTTTTTTCCAGCAGCGGGCGTTAAATTACAGACTGTAAATTACAGAAATTTACAAAAAAATATATATATATATATTAGGGATGTAACGGTATCAGAATTTCACGGTACGGTAATACCTCGGTATGAATGTCACGGTATGGTATTTATTGAATCATTTACAGGAAAAAAAAACTTTTGAAAATACTCCAAAAAAGTGCCAAAAGTGTCAATGACATACAAATTAGCCATCTATCTGTTAGCTTTGAAACAGGAACTTCAATTTTAATAACAAAAAATTATTAAACCATGTAAAAAAATAAAGTTTCAATTTAGTATTGTTGAAAACTCATCACATTTAACATTTAATCACTCACTTAGATAGAGATGGGTTTAAAGGAAAATTATCATATAACTATAATCTGGTAAAAGCTGGGATCTCTGGGTATTTACAATGTCCCCTGCAACAGAAAAAACCCCTCTCATTTGGGACTGAGGTTTCTGGGACAAGAGAGATATGACTTGGTCCATGTTGACAGCAGTGGGTAACGTTGTGCATTGTCTTTCCCCCACTTGAGAAGACAAACCATGAGTGAGATAGAGGTCTCTTTGCGGTACAAGTCAATGTCTGCATCAATCTGAACAGTGTGCTGTGTTTCTGCAGTCCCCATGACTGTTATTAGTCGTATTCCCCAATTTGCAGGCACGTGCACACATAGGGCTCAACCTGTGCAGTGCACATGCCCTTTTTAGTCTTGGATAGAAAATGCCCTTCCAAAACGATCAAAAGTGCCCCCGCGACGCGACACAACCTCCGTCCAGTCCAGCCCTTCAGTAGGCGCGCGACAACACCTCTCTTGAGTATGCGTGCTCAACCCCCCCTCGGCGCTTTACAATACGCGCGCCACAACACAGCTGATCAGAACGCGCGCGACAGCACCGCTATTCAGCACGCGCGCGGCGACAACACCCGCTTTAGGTTCGATCATTTCCATCTTTTTTTCATCTCCGCTACTAGCAGCACACTCCATTTCCGCATTACTGGATCTGTAGCGACAACAGACCGCAAAGGATTATGGCCACGCCGGGGCTGATGGGAAATGAAGTTTCAGCTAGCTCCCGTTCGCTTCATTCGCCTGAGCAAATTTTCTCAGAAGACCTATAGTTTTACCGAGTCATGCGACTTCGGTAATATCGAAAAAATTTAATATTGCGGTATGACGGTATTTACAATACCGTTACATCCCTAATATATATATATATATATATATATATATATATATATATATATATATATATATATATTTAAGGAAATGTCTGTAATTTACATCTGTTATTTTACACTTTTTATTTCAGCACAACAGCTGCCAGAAAAATAGAAGGAAAATTACAGATTTTTGTTATTATTGAAGGTCTGCTGCAAGGAGACATGTTTCTTATACCTGTATTGAACTGTAATTGGCTACATCACAGCAGCCTCACAGAAAAAAAAAAACAAGCTTGAAAGTTTTATCCTTTTTATGGTTTCACATTGAAACATCATGTCTTATGGTTGTTTGGTGTACACCGAGGTTCCCTACATTCAAAAACACAAACATCTAATGAACCAAATTTAATAATTCAATACAGTTCATGTGTAAGTTTAAGTTTTAGAGAGCAGATTTTTGTTGTAAGAATGAAGCTTTAGCTTGCCACACACAACAACCCCTTCAAAAATTGTGTAATCTTTGTGTTACAATCCTAGCTTTTCTTTCATTTTGATCTGTGTATTAAAAAATTGTTTTAAAAAAGCTCCCTGGTTATTTTGTACAGCCACGTTAAACAGTAAATATTACATTATTTCTGGAAAAATATTTTGTTCTCCTGTGTTTAATGAAGCATTGCCTATGTTCCACAGTACATCACACTATATATGTCTAAACGTGAAGTTGGACATAAAACCTCTAACATGCAACTTCTAATCATAAAACACAGAAGGCTCATGTTCTGTTTTTGGCTTGTTTAGATGTTTTTGGTCTGTGTGTGTGTGTGTGTGTGTGTGTGTGTGTGTGTGTGTGTGTGTGTGTGTGTGTGTGTGTGTGTGTGTGTTTTAGTTGAGTTTGTGTTGAAAGTGGACCGAGACCTAACTATTTAATGGTCACGATACAGTTGTTTGGTGCACACCGATGTTCCCTGCATTCGAAGACACAATCTTACCACCACCAAAATGTTGAATGGTAACACATATAGTAACAAACCAAACTGAATAATTTATTACAGTTCTTGTGTAAGTTTAAGCTTCAGAGAATAGATTTTCATTGTAAGTAGGACTGAAGCTTTAGCTTGCAAACCACAACTACCCTTTCAAAAATTGTGTAATCTTTATGATACAATCCTAGATTTTCTTTAGTTTGATGTGTGTATATTAAAAAGAGTTTAATAAAGGTTCCTGAGTATTTTGTACAGCCACTCTTAACAGAAAATGTTACATTATTTCTGGAAAAATATACATTGTTCCCTAGTTTTAATCTCCTGTGTTTAGTGAAGCATTTGCTTATGTTACACTACTGTACATCACACTATGCGTAAACATGAAGTTGGACATAAAACCTCTAACATGCAACTGCTAATCATAAAACACAGAAGGCTCATGTTCTGTTTTTGGCTTGTTCAGATGTGTTTGGTCTGTGTTGTGTGTGTGCTTTAGTTCAGTTTGTTTAAAAGTAGACCAAGACCTAACTTCTGGTCTAAGTACGAACGTTTGGTGCATACCGAGGTGCCTGGCATTAAAAAAAAAACACAATCTTACCACCACCAAAATGTTGAATGGTAGCACATATGACAACAAATTAATTGGAATAATTCAATACAGTTTATGTGTAACATTAAGTTTCAGTGAACAGATTTTTGTTGTAAGTAAGACTGACGCGTTAGCTTGCCACCCACAACTACCCCTTGTCTTGTCGTGGAGTAAAGGTTATGACCCCACAGAAGCTAAAAGGTCGCACAAGGCCCTATAAATCTACATATGTGACCATGGGTGGTAAATGTATTAGGTCTAAGTTTACGTCTGTTACCACATCCCAAACTGAGGCTTTGTGTCTGAGATTTTGTTGACATGAGTTTTCAATTACATCTTAAAATGAAGTTAGCTTTTTACAATTCTAATGCAGAGTTCTGCCTTGAAGTATCAGAGAAATGGTTACTTTCAGTTGTGCATCCATATGATTCCCCACGCTTGCTGTCTTACACATTCAAAAATGCTGTTCAGCAAATTTAGAAATTGATATATTCATAATTGCTCAAGGTTACTGAAAAGCTAATGGCTTGATTGCATTAAACTGAAACACAACAATCTATGTTTTCTTGTGCTGAACTGGTCTAATTCATATTTAATGCATTTCATTAATGTAGAAAGCCGAGGCAAACGTTAACCTCCTAGGACCCCAGACATCTAATGGACTTCAATGGCTAAAATTCGATGTTTGGATTCTGCATAATGAAAGTAGAGTGAGTGTCAAGCCAGAAGATCCATTACAACAACATTTCCTCAGGCCTGATGAGTAAAGCAACAGCAATCTATAAATGCAAGCATGATAAACTCACTATTTCAGCCCTTACAAGCCTACAATGAACACCACTGATCCACAAATACACACATTCATCCTCCAAAATCTGAAGAAGACATCTACTTCTAGAAATGTCCCTCACAGAAGTCAGATAAGCGTGACTTGTTTAGACTGGATCTAAAATCTACAGCAATTTCTCATCATAAACCATCAAACTTACAAGTTAATAACAAAGGCAATGAAATCTACAAAAACAACCAAATGGAGTATAAAAACCCCTCTGGATTCTAAGAAAAAAAGAAGCCTGAGGTAATGCAATTATCTTACATTCACAAAGTATAATACGGAGTAAACAAATAAACTACCTAATGCGGAGAAAATAAATAAAAAATCATCCAAGAAAGACAAACCTACAGCAGTTTTAATAAGTGACAAAAACCTGCGAAAGCCTACCTGGAGCTGCTTGTATCTCCACCAGGCCTCCAACCATGATGAGTGCCTCAAGAATCTTCACATGGTGTTCTGGGTTTACATCCGCACTGGAATAAGAGGGAAAGAGACATTTGGAGAGTAAGTATTTAAAGTAAGTGCAATGGAGATCCAAACTGAAGAAACTATGATTTCCTAAATGATGTTGTGAGAGATTGCTGAGAGAGACTAGTGAAGTTCTAATTATTTTCTTTGCTCTCTATTTCCACCACGGGATGCCTATCCTGAGGCATCTAGATTGTGGAATGCCACTCGATCATAAATAATTCCAACCCTTTGAGGACTTCAAGAGATAATACCACCCATCCAAGAACTTTACCATTTGAACCAAGAACACCTAATACAGGTCATTGAACATGTATGGACCTCACCTTTTTGGAAGCACACTAAATTACTGTATAACTGTAGGTCAGGGCTATTAAATTAGTTTGTCATCTGGGCCAATTCATGGAAAGCATCCCAAATGAGGGGCTGGAGAGATATGACTTGCAATATAAGCAATGAAATGCTGTATGTTTCCTCCTTAAGACACCCACGTTGGTAAATATTAAATTATTTCTTGCTCTTTAGTTTTGATCTCCTGTGTTTAGTGAAGCATTTGCTTATGTTCCACTACTGTACATCACACTATGCCTAAAAGTGAAGTTGGACATAAAACCTCTAACAGAGCATAAACACAGAAGGCTAAAAAAAATAAATAAATAACAGATTCACATAAGCACACACACACACGCACACGCACACGCACAATCACACGCACACGCACACACACACACACACACACACATTTAAACATACACACACAATGAAGGCAAACTGGTGACTGCTTGTTTATGGTCAAAACCCGATTGGATTTTTATAGGCAAATTTTAATTTACTCATGCATTCAGCTGTAATTCAGGTTCTGTGACACCTCAGTGACCTCAGGTAGTGTGTGAAGCTGATGACTAACCAGAAATGGCTGTTTGAGGTATAATGCATTCTGTTTCCCTACGCTCTCTCTCTCTCTCCCTGAACTGCCCCAAAGCCATAAGACAATTGACAGGCCGCTAAGAGTAGGGAAAGTCCCACTGGAGTCTCTTGGCAGAGGGACAGGATAGCTGCTCACAATCAAATAAGTGCGAGGTGACTTAATGGACTACAATGTGCTGACTGAGTTAGCAGTGACTCACTTGCACACTACTCTTTATTATGTGCACTGAGGTCCTTCATTCAGTAAAGCACTTTATGGAGAGTGTGAAGTCTCTGGCTATTTAACTGTGACTAGTTATAGAGATCTCATGTAGCAAAAATACCCAAAACACAGCCCCATCATAGACATGTAAAAATGTTAATAGCACAGCTTTCTGCTGGTATTCATTTAGTAACACAGTTTGCACTACTGTTCAGAGATTTGGAGACTCTAATAATTAAAAATAATATTAATAACATATTGTTTGTATTAATACTATATTATTACTGACAAAATAATTAAATTATTGAATATACAAAAATAATTAAAATAGAATGTGAATTTGTAACACTACAATCCTATTACAATCACAGGGCTGGATGTTAGACTTTATATTATTTATTTTGATTAAAACATTCACACTCATAGGGCTCTATTTTCATAATCTAGGCGCAAAGTCTTAAGCATATGGCACAAAAAAGCATTAGGGGAATGTCCGTTTTTAAGGATGGAAAAATACGCTGTGTGCCCTGGCTCATGGTCTAACAGGGTTGTACTTATTCTCTTAATGAGTTATGGGTGTTTTGAGCAATTATACACTTGATCTGATACATGCTTTTATGCAAGAAACATATTTTTTTCTTGTAATGTAGACATAACTGGATTATACACATTAAACCAATAAGAGTCACATCGCATTTTCTATTTACATGGTGGATTTTGTAAGTGAAAAAACTGAACGCTTCACTAGCGAGAAAACAGTTAAACAGAGCATCTGCAGCGCAAGGATAAAGAATAAGCCTCTTCCATTTGGCCTCTATACTTTCTCTTTACTTTACTTTTACTCTTTACTTTACTCCTTTACAGTGCTGTATGCATTCCACTGAAGACATCCATTAGATCACATATTTAATTTAGTTCAAGATTTTTTTTTTCTAAAATCAGTTCTAATTTCCAGCAACTGAAAAAATTAACAATAATAAAGTGTGGTCATTAACTGAATTATATCTAAACACACGTCCAATTCTTATGCCCATATGGTGATGCATCCGTCTACAAAACCCAACAGGGGGACAAATCTAAACTTGTTCTTATTAAAACATATATAAATATGCATATAATAAATAAACATGCAATTAATATTAACATTATACAAATGCAAACTGTCATGAGTAAATTAAAAAAGCCCCCCAAGATGAGGCAAAGAGGTGGTGTTTTTTTCATATTAAAGTAGTATTTTTTTTGTAACAGTTTAATCTTTTATTTTATTTTCATATTTAAAGATATTAGTGTATTGTTGTTTATCCTATGTGTATTAAGCAATGTGTAAGCGTTTGGACCAGCATAGGCACATATCTAATGCGCTCTGGACTTTAGACCAGCTTTTAGTCGGTCAATGGCACAGTGTATTTCATTCATTCATTCAATTTCTTGTCGGCTTAGTCCCTTCTTTAATCCGGGGTCGCCCGGCAGTGTATTTCAGTTTCTTAAAATAGCAATGAGCCAACACTGAGCCTTGAAACACCTCCTTTTTAGACCAAAACACCCATGACTCCACAAAGTGGTGCAAATGAATTTGCTATCTAAACAACGTAGCACAAAATGTGAAAACTAGGGTTGTGTTCGTCTGAAAATAGTAACAAATCACGCCATACATGTCTTGTGCCTTATTGTGCAGGGTTTAATATAGGGCCTTTAATGTTTTTTAGTAGTTTGGCAATTTACCTTTATCAGTTTAACTGGAATTTGCACAGCTTCATTAAAAAAAATAAAAAAAAACTAACTAAAAATATCATTAAAATCACTTCGTCAAACTTTTCAATATCAAACTTTGTCCAACCAGATATAATAGTGCTTTAATGCATTTTGAAAGCATAAAACACACATGAATCACAAAATTACTAACTTTTTTTGTAAACAGTGGAGTAAATTTTGAGACATTGGAGATAAACCTTAATGACTGCTCCAACTATCACTTTCTTGCAAATGCAATTGCATCAACCATTATGGTAATTCTTATTATTTATACAATTAATTTAGCCACTACAACAGCTACAGTCAAGAACTAGGGCAATCAAAATAATGATTACTTTAACCTGTGGTATAAAAGATTATGTATGTGCTCAATAGTTAATAAAGACACCAATAATGTGATCGTGTATTATGGTCAGACACAAAGATCTCGTACATAATACCAGTCGGGTTACATAAATAATGAGTTATCAACATTCACTCCGGGTACTCTTCAAATGGCATGTACAAGGGATTGTAATGTGGTGCAACACATTTTAATAAGCATTCCCATCTGTTGTATGTTATGTGCGGTTTCTCTCAGGAGATTGTGCTGGAGCTGTAGCCATTAAGGGCTGTCTTACAGTGGGCTGAGGGACAGATCAGAAATAACAGCTCCCTCATCTCTTTCTGCTCCACTTTAATTAAACTAGGGGAATAAAGATATGGTCCGACATATGTTCAACTGGGCTTTCTGCTGAAACAAAGAACACGCATACACATGCAAGTGTAAACGTGAGTGTGAATTAACCACAAAACTGAACATGAAAACATATTACTTGCCTCTTTTAAACGTTTTAAATATAATGCAGCCCGTTCAGGATAGTAATGAGACTGGAACGTGAATGTGTAGTTACACAGTTTGCTATAAATAAAGAGTTACCAAAATTCTAAAAATATTTATTCTGTCATCATTTACACTAAATTGTTAAAATTCTAAAAGCTCTAAATTTTACTTTCTAAATTTAAGAACATAAATTAAGATAATTGAAAATTGATAAAATAAAATAAAATAAAATTCCCAGTGATGGGATGCAGCTGGAAGATCATTCACTGCATAAAACACGTGCTGGATAAGTTGGCGGTTCATTCCGCTGTGGCGACCCCAGATTATTAAAGGGACTAAAAATAAAATAAAATTGGAACTTTTCAGAATACTTGAATTTATTCATAAATTATGGATTCATGAATTATGTAAAAAAAAAATTACAAACTGAGCTTATAAGGTTCCTCTGTAACTGTATAGTTGATCAAGTAAATACAGATCTTAATAATATCCTTAAGCACATTTTATTACTTAAAAACTTGTCATGTGGCAATGTATCTGTAAATAAATCTGTTTTTGCAGTTTACAGTACCTGAAGTGGTTGTTTTTGAAGACGGCTTCACTGTAGGCCAGAGCCAGAATCTTGGGGCTTGCCTGAGCTGCTCCCCCACTTTGGGCCACCTTGCTAAGGTGTCGGGTCAGATGAACCAGGAGCTGGTGGTTAGCCTGAGGGACACTGGGAGAGTCCAGGATTGTTTTTAGCTGTTGTCCACATTCCTCCATGCTTTGGATCTCTAAAATACAGAAAAACTATGTTAAAGAGGCATTCCAATTGTCACAAGTTGATGTCTCAACACTCCTGATCTGTGATGTGAAAGGGAGCAGACAGAGAATAATTTAATAATGTTGTTGTACAAAAACTAATTATAAATTCATATCTACTACAGTGAAAAAACTGTTGTCTTTAAAATTGTTGCAAACAATTTAAATGTGTTGACTTTAAACAAAAAGATTAAACTTAGTAATGTTCAACTTAATGTGTTTCCTTAAATTCAGCCCAAATAAATAGTTTACAACCATGCAACTTAAAAAAGTAAATCCAAGGAGTCATCTTTGAATTATTATTTTTTTCCATGTATACATATCTACTACAGCAATAAAATATATGTAATTTAAGTGCAGTGATACTTTTAAATGGCTGTTTTTTTTTTTTTTTTTTTTTACTTTAAAGGGATAATTCAAACATAAATGAAAATGCAGTAATTATTTACTTTCCTTCATTTATTTGGTTCCAAACCTGTTTGGGTTTCTTTCTTCTGTTAAACACAAAGGAAGATAAGTTGAAGAAACTATTGACTTCCATTGTTTTTATTTTTCTACTATGATGGTTTATGGTTACAGTTTTTGAGCTTTCTTTAAAATGTTTAACTGTTTAGAACAGGGCTATTCAATTAGTTTGGCATGGGGGCCGGTTCATGAAAAACATCCCAAACGAAGGGTCGGAGAGATATGACTTGCTATAGTGATAACACAACTACATATAAGAGCCCATATGCTGTATTTGTGCTCATAAAGACACCCACGTTGGCTTTTTCTACATTAAAATGTTAATATATTGTATTTTAAAACAACTGCATTGTCCAACTGATTTTTTTTTGTTTACAAACATTCAAAATGTTGTATTTTGCACAACCTTTTTGGTTGTACGATTATATAGTCTGAAGAATAATCATGGTTTCACGGTTATCACGTCTAATGTAATTTAGAACAACAAGGTTTATATTAGGAAAGTAGCTATTTAGATTAACTGTTGTTATCATCTGGGTTCATTCGTATATAATCATTTTAATAATAATTCATCTAACATAAATTTTGGTTACATTGCACTTAAAGGCACGCACAACTCTCAACGTGAGATGTTTTCTACTGCGTGCGCCCGGATAGAGGCAAGCGTGTTGCTCTGCTTGTGCGCGCTTATTGACATTCTTACATTAGAAATTACAAACTTGCAAGCGGAAAAGACGTGATATGGGAACGGCCGCTGCTATAGTTAATCCGGTGAGCGTGCTTATTAGCCTCAGTGTACATACTTGGAACTTTAAACTAGTGCACAGTTGGCAACTTGTCATAACTTTTCCGTGCAACAGAAATGCGGCTTAGAGAAACCTATACGATTCATTAACTGTGATGAATTAAAGCGCAGGTAATAGTGAATTCATCTAATCGTTGCATCCCAATTAATGATTACAGTGCATTGTACAAAAGGCATTTTCTACAAAATATATCCAAATGTTTTCGGGTGTCCGCACCACTGACTCACGCTCTGCACAGCCTCTGCAGCTCATACTGAATTGAACAGACGCATGACACTTCATAGCTATAGCGGCCATTTTTCGACTGAACTAAATTTATTTTTATGTCGTGGTCACACTATTTGGAAGGCCAGAAAAAATTGCCTTGGGGGCCGGGTTCGGCCCGCGGGCTGCCAACTGAATAGCCCTGGTTTAGAACAATGGTCTCAAACTTAATTCCTGGAGGGCCGCAGCTCAGCATAGCTTAGCTCCCAACACCTCCAACTCAAACCTGCTTAATAGTCTACTAGTCACCTGATTAGTCGGATCAGCTGTGTTTGATTAGGGTTGGAACAAAACTATGCAGAGCTGTGGCCCTCCTACATTTAAATTCAAATGCATTACCTATGCAGAGTACTAGGCGATTTCGGATGCAGCCATGGTTTAGAACCACTTGAGGGCTATTGAATAGTGAGCCGATTTTCATTTTTGGATGAACTATCCCTTTAGTGCCGAACGATCAAATGATTTGAATGAAGATTTAAATCTGTCTATATTTTTTATATAATGCAGTGTATCTTTTTCTCTCACTTTATTTTCTGTATCTCTTCTGGAAATATTTGTCACCTGCCAATGAAATAACATGGCTATCACAAATTTATTGACTGACTGGATACACATGTTGATACAGTATGTGAGAAATCAGACATTAAGGTAAACTTTTTCGATAGAAATGATTTGCCACCTTCCTTAGTGATTTTAATATGTTTGTTAATTTAAATGGGCATTGATAACTTATTTTCACTTTTTAAATATTAATAATACTGTAATATCTATGCATGTCAATTCCTTAATTCATTTCAAGACTGAATCTCAAAACTTGTAAAATGTTGTCTATGGAAAAGATGATTGTAGATGATCACATTGTACCTACATTGTCCAGCAGGGACTAAAAGGCTAAACATCAACCCTACAGTTTTAATAAAATAGGAGTAACTCATCTGAACTCAGACAGCAGCACTGAACATTTGGGGACATTACAAAACCTACAACCTGGAGACTGGAGAGTCAGCTCACCAGGAGTTAAAGCGCTACCCTAACATTGCCCTCAAGCCCATTGTCTATGAGCACCACAAGGACAATGCAGTTATTTCGACAGCATTCAACATATTGATGAGCTCCTTTGAGAAGGGCTTTCCCACAGCGAAAAGGCCAGCATCTGTGATCCGGGCTTAGTTGAGCTAAAGTGTACCCTGGTGGCAAGGAAAAGATATGAGCATTTCATCCCTAAGTCCCTTAAACACAATGAATATTTGTCTTCATCAGCCACAGGAACAGGGATACGGGATATCAATGCAAAACATCAGCCACTCTGGAAAGTAGAGAACGAGAGGGAATTTCCTTAGAATGAACTGCTGATCGTGCTGTTTATTCATAATGTATGCCTTGTTCTAACTCCTGTCACCATCATTTGATGAATCACGGCAGCTAACTATGATCGATATAAAAAAGGTAAAGCATTTCTTTTATTATTTTTATTATTTTACAAACTGTTTTTGCGGATACAATGTTCAAGAGCTATAAAAATGAAAGGAATTTAATTCATTGTGAGGTAAAGAACATGCTATGCTGACATTTATGATTATAAGCATGAATAATACAGTGGACGTCGAAAGTTTGGGCACCTCAGGTAAAAATGTGCATTGATGTGCATAAAGAAGCCAATAGTGGAAAAATCTCTAAAAGGCATCAAATTACAGAATAGACATTCTTATAATATGTCAAAAAAGTTAGACTTTATTTCCATCATTTACACTTTCAAAATAATACAAAAAAATAAAGAAAAAAAATGGCTTCTGCAAAAGTTTGAGCACCCTGCAGAGTTTATAGCATGCACATTCCTTGGCTTCTTTATGCACATTAATACAATTTTTTTTTACCAGGGGTGCCCAAACTTTTGATTACCACTGTATTATGGAGTGCAACTGTCAATATGGAGATCGCTAAAACTGAACTTTAGAAAATACATTGAAAAGCAAATTACATAAGAGAGATGACTTTAATGCTTTCATTCTTTTTTAAACCATTCCAAGTTTAAATGTTGGAATGTTCGAAAGGAATAGGGTATAGAGGGGATAAATGGAAATAGAACACAGTTGCTTCTATCTTCTACCTGTAATTACAGATCTAGAGAAGTAGTTGCAAATGTTTAGTACAAGTTTGCGACGCAGTTTGCGAATATTTGTTTGGAACGGTGGACTTTGGGAAACACCAATCAACAAACTACAGTATGTTTATAATGATGGAACTTGCAACCTTAGTTGGCTAACAATAGTTTTCAGAAACGCATCCCTGGACAGGCTGATTGATTTGGGGGGCATTCGCTTGCGCTGGCCTGACAATAAAAAAGCAGTTGTTCCCTGTGTAACCTGGTGGATACTGCATAACGCACAAAAGTGTTTTTTTTTTGTTTTTTTTTACAAAAAGGCAGCCATTGCTGATGCATCGCAGAGCATGACTGCACGTGACAAACTGCAGCACTGCGCGTGAAGAATTGCACATTCTCGAACCCATATCTGTGATACAATTTATATTAAATAATTGATAATACAAATTTAACAAATTCATTTGCACATTATGGATGCAGGGTTATGTCAAATACTTTTATTTGTATACATATCAAGTTAATTTCAAGAATGAATCTCAAGACTTGTAAATTGTTGTCATTAGATAATAACTAATAACTTCAATAACTATATGATGCAGTACCTACAATGACCAGCAGGGACTAAAAGGCTAAACATCAACACTGCCATTTTAATAATATAGGTATAACTCTCAAAGTGAGCCGTATATAAGTGTAGTGTAATCAGTCCATGAGCAGCATCAGCTCTGGGAGTGTAATCAATGGAGACTTGAAGCAGGTGTGTGTGTTGCATGACTGGATTTTGTAGTCCAAATACAAGCAGATTTGTAGTTCTTCAGTGATCTGCATGGGCTAGATGGCTGGTGACTGTGTGACTGTGACAAAATGAGTTTATATGGATGTTTCCAGGTACTGGGTTGCAGCTGGAAGGGGATCTGCTGTGTAAATATGCTGGATAAGTTCATTCCGGTTCATTCCATTGTGGGAACCCTTGATTAATAAAGGGACTAAGCCAAAAAGAAAATGAATGAATGAATCAATAAGGTCACACTTTACAATAAGGCTTATTAGCTAATGTTAAGTAATGCATTTACTAACATGAACAAACAATGAACAATGCATTTACTACAGTATTTATTCATGTTAATAGACGTTGGTTAATGAAAATACAGTTGTTCATTGGTAGTTTGTTAACTCATGGTGCATTAACTAATGTTAACAAGCATGGCTTTGAATGTTAATAATGCATTAGTAAATGTTCAATTATGATTAATAAATGCTGTACAAGTGTTGTTCATGATTAGTTCATGTCAGTAAATGCATTAACTAATGAACCTTATTGTAAAGTGTTAACATA